CACAAGCCGACGAGAGAACCTGAGCCCCGGGAGTGGAGCTAAGATCGAGGGAATAAAATCTAACGAAAGTGTGCGGTGAGGACCAGCCTGCCGCATCACAAACGTCCTGAAGAGAAGCTCCTGAAAGAAGAGCTGTAGAAGCAGCCATACTCCGGGTGGAACGAGCCCTTACAGCCAAAGGTGAAGGCTGATGGGCCGACCCATAAGCAAGTGGGATGGCCTCGACCACCCACTTGCTCATCCTTTGCCTAGATGCAGGACACCCTTTCTTAGGTGACCCAAACAGACGAACAGTTGTTCCGATCTCCTCCACAGGGCAGCTCTGTGGACGTAAGCATCTAAAACCCAAACTGGGCACAGCAAATTAATTTTCTCCTGGTCTGACGTCAGAAAAGGCGGAGGACAGAAAACCTGCAGAACTATAGGTCTAACAGAAACAGTTGGAACCTTAGGAACATAACCTGGTCTCGGAAAGAGAAAGGCCTTAACCAACCAGGAGCAAATTCCAGGCACGAGGGAGCCACCGAAAGTGCTTGAATATCTCCAATTCTTTTTAGAGATGAGATAGCGAGAAAAAGGATAGTCTTAGAGTAAGAAACTTTTCCGAAACTTCCTCGATGGGCTCGAAAGGAGCAAGGGAGAGACCTTCTAAGATGATGGCCAGATCCCAAGCTGGTACCCTCGTGCGAACTGCAGGCCTCAGCCTCAAGGTGCCACGAAGGAAGCGAGACATAAGTGGGTGTTTCCCGAGGGAACCTCCATTTGAAGGGGTGTGGTAAGCAGCTAAGGCCGCCACATACACCTTCAGTGTGGAGTGGGATAACCCTGTGGAGAGACGGTCCTGCAGGAAATCCAGCACTGTACCAACCGGGCAGTTAACTGGGTCCTGCTGGCGCTCTCCACACCAAGAGGTGAAAAGTTTCCACCTCGCGCATATAACTTCCTCGTGGAGGGAGCTCTGGATCGGAGGATGGTCTCAACGACCTCAGCCGAGAGACCAGAATCTATGAGCTGGGCCCCCTCAGAGGCCAAGCCCACAGCCTCCATAGCTCTAGACGGGGGTGAAGGATCGACCCACTCGCCTGAGAGAGCAGATCTCTCCTGATCGGTATCTCTAGGGGAGAGCCGTCGAGGAGAGACACTAGGTCCGCAAACCATACCCGGGCCGACCAGAACGGGGCTATTAGCAGGAGACTGAGCCCGTCCCGGCGAACCCTCTCCAGAACTCCTGGGAGCAGAGCGATCGGGGAAAAAGCGTACAAGCGTGACCTCGGCCACGGATGTACCATCGCATCCAACCCCAGCGAGGCTGGATGGCTGCGAGAGAACCACAGCGGGCAGTGTGATGTTTCTCGAGAAGCAAATAGGTCTACCTCGGCAAGACCGAAATGTTTCCATAGGAGTTCCACCACCTCGGGGTGAAGACTCCATTCCCCGGGCCTCGGCCCCTGTCTTGACAGGATGTCTGCCCCCTGATTAAAATACCCCGGGAGATAAATAGCTCTCAGAGAAAGAATTTTCCCCTGGGACCATAGAAGGATCTGACGTGCCAGTTTGTAAAGCGGGCGAGAACGCAAACCCCCCTGATAGTTGATATAAGAAACCACCGATGTGTTGTCTGTCCGGACAAGAACATGGTGGCCCCTTAGGTCTGGGAGGAAGTGTTTCAGAGCCTGAAACACCGCCAACATCTCTAGGCAGTTTATGTGCCACAGACGATGATGGTCCTCCCACAGACCCTGAGCCGGGCGACCATCCATGATCGCCCCCCCAACCCGTGAGAGAAGCATCTGTCGTTAGCATAACGCGACGACAAGGAGCTCCTAACACAGGGCCTTGGGACAGAAACCAAGGATCTTTCCACATGATCAGGGCGTGATGACACCGTCGCGAACTCACGATCATGCGAAGCGGATTTCCCCTCGGGGAGAATCCCTTGGTCCTGAGCCACCACTGTAACAGTCTCATGTGCAAGAGGCCAAGAGGTATCACGTTGGACGCAGCTGCCATGAAACCTAACAGTCTCTGGAACTGTTTTACAGTGGATGACTGGCCTAGCTTGACCTGATCTACTGCAGCGAGAATCAAAGCAATACGAGCAGGTGACAATAGTGCCTGCATCGTCGTTGAATCCCACACTACACCTAGAAAAGTGGTTCTCTGTAATGGAGAAAGAACACTCTTTTTGGCGTTGAGCCTCAGCCCCAGTCACTTGATATGAGCAAGAACGACATCTCGGTGCCGAACCGCCTGTTGTTCCGATTGAGCTAGAATCAAGCAATCGTCTAAATAGTACAGAAAGCGGATGCCCTGTAACCTCAGCGGGGCTATAGCAGCATCCATACACTTCGTGAATGTTCGGGGTGACAGTGCTAGGCCGAACGGAAGAACCCGATATTGGTACGCTTCGCCCCCGAAAGCGAACCTCAGGAACTTCCTGTGTTGAGGGAGGATAGATACATGGAAGTAAACGTCCTTTAGATCTATCATGACAAACCAGTCCTCGGATCTGATTTGAACATCCCCTGTGACAGACACAGCGCCCTGTAACGTACTGGCAGGGAACAGCTGGCCTGGGCACTCCACAACCCTCCTCGGAGGGGGCGAGCGTCCCTCGGGAAATCGCTCGCAGAGTCTCTCTACGCCCTGTATAGGCAGGGTTAGTAGAACAGACCCCTGAGGGCATCGAGAAAGACAGGGCACCGTGTTTTTGTGCGGTGAACTCAGGTCTTTCACGATAGGGACCACCCTCAGAGTCCTGACGTTTAGCACGTCAGGATTTTTCTTTTTCCCGATGAAGTAGTATCCTAACTCCCTGCTGGGTGGGGGACCCATTCCGCCAGGAGCTCTACTAAGGGAACCAGCCTCTCGAGGCTGGCCTCTGGATGAACATCCCGAGTGACAGACACAGCGCCCTGTAACATACTGGCAGGAAACAGCTGGTCTGAACACTCCACAACCCTCCTTGGAGGGGGCGAGCGTCCCTCGGGAAATCGCTCGCCGAGTCTCTCTACGCCCTGTATAGGCAGGGTTAGTAGAACAGACCCCTGAGGGCATCGAGAAAGACAGGGCACCGTGTTTTTGTGCGGTGAACTCAAGTTTTTCCCGATGGGGACCACCCTCAGAGTCCTGACGTTCAGCCCGTCAGGACTTTTTCGACGCGGCCTTTCTGGCGACAATGACTGTCCTCAGATCAGTCCTGCCCCGAGAAGGCCACGCCGGAGAGCGCCCGCCTCGTCCCTCCAGTTTCTCTGCAGGAGGGCACGAGACTTGACACTCCGCTTCTGCTGTGCTCTTTTGGAAGACGAACTCGACGAAAAACTTTGCTCTGGTTGAACATTCTGCGTGACAGACACAGTGCCCTGTAACGGCGCACCAGCAGGGAACGACTGGTCTGAACACACTAGAACCCTCCTTAGAGGCGGCGAGCGTCCCTCGGGAAAGCACTCGCCAGACCCTTCTACGCCCTGTTTCGGCAGGGTTAGTAGGACGGGCCCCTGAGGGCGCCGGGAGAGACAGGGCACCCTTAAGGGAGGTGAACGCAAGTCTCTCTCGGCGGGGAACCCCCTCAGATTTTCCTTTGATCGGCCTGAAAAGCCTGCATAAAAGTCTTTTTATTTTTATTTTTATTTTTTTTCGTATGCAAACATGCAGCCGCCTGCCCAGCCACCGAGTAAGCCTTCCCCACCAGCACAGAGGTATATATATTTATTTATTTATTTATTTTTGGTGGAAGAGCCGGTGCTTTAAGTGAAGACGATGAAGCAGGAGAGAGATAGCTCGCGAGCGTCTCCTCCGCCTACAGTATCGTCACATAACCAGCAGATTTAGCACCAACAATGTTACCATAAGCATTGGACTGATTTGTGTAAATTCTGCTTGAAACCGGTCTAACCCAGGTCTTTGACACCTCAGTATGAAGATCTGGGAAGAACGGTAAGCACCGGCGAGAAGGTTGAAGTCGTGCAGACAGAAATCTATCATCTAGATTGCTTTTAATTCTAGAAACCTGTCTATCAGCTGGCCACTCGATACTGTTTTTTTTTTTTTTTCAGCTTTTCAACAGCCCGAGATAACACATCCATCAAACCTTCTTCATTTGCAGTATAATGTGATAAACTAGTTTTCTCTGATGCAAAACTTTCGACATCCAGCTCCTCAGAACTGGAAAATCTCAATTCAACATCATCATGTGCCTCCACCCGGGCAGAAGTAACCGCCGCAGCGCGTGCTTCCAGAGCCGGGTGAGAGGCACTAGATCTCGGCGGAGATAGCTGAGATAGGCCCGTCTCAACGTCGCCAGTGAGATCCATCTGCGAGCCCCAAGACAAGCGCCGCCGCTCTGCCTCAACAGAAGCGGGACCCGAGCCTTGGGGAGCTCGCAGCAAATCACTCTCCTCGAAGAGCGATCGCCGCGAGCGCAGAGTTCTCAAGGGAAAACACTCGCAATGCTGACAATCGACTCCCTCGAGAGCCGACTGGGCATTGCTGCACTTCCCAACACACTTCTTATACTGCTCGCTCATATTGGTTTTTTTATATAAAATATATATAGTGAAAACTCCTGACAAAACAGACAAACACAATCGACAGATTCAGACACACACAGAGCTGCTGAAGTAACTAAAAGCTGGCGTATTGTGTACTCAGGGGATATTTATAGCTTCCTGGTCGATGACGTCACTCGCCGTACGCTCATTCTCTCCATTGACTGATTTCATTCATGCTTCAGACGCGTCACGCTGAGGGCGTTCCCACTGCGATTACACGCAGCGGTAGTCCCTGAAGGGGAACTGTAAATTTCACCATTAAATAATCAATTGCATCCTGCTCTGAAACCTTATGATACTATGGAACACATTTTCCCCAGGTTTCACACACAAGGCTTAAGCCTAGTCCCAGACTAAAATGCATGTTTGAGCTATTTCAACTGAAAACAACTTGCACTGACATATCTTAAAATATGTCAGTACCATTGTTTTGTCTCAAGATGCACATTAGTTTTTTTAAAGGGACAATGTGTAGGAATTTCTCCCATCTAGCGGTGAAAATGTATTTTGCATTCAAACAAATTGTGCTCTCCAGCGCCTCGCTTTTTCAAATGCGCGTTGCATCTACGGTAGCCATTATGTAACAAAAAGCTATGACAGGATGTCTTCTAATAGCACTTCGTCGAGTGTTCCTTCGGGTGAACAGGTTTGTTATTTTAAAAAAACAGCAACTTGACACAACGAACAAAACGAATGTTACAGTATGAATTACTGACTGTGAAAAACATGAACTATTGTAATAAGTAGTTATGCCTTCTTTATTCGTTATATTTTCTGAAGTACGTGCATTGTTAGATATCATCAACTTTTAACTATAAATGTTCATCTGTCTATAAAATAAAGTACACAACCAAACAATGAAAAAAAGCTTGTAATTAACCCTCTGGGGTCTGAGGTGTTTTCGGGGTCCTTGAGATGTTTTGGCATGCTCTGACATTTGTGCTTTTTTCAGTTGCTTATAAACATATTAATGGCACAGGTGAAATTGCACTCTATATAGCACACACAGGGCTACCATAATATGTGAGCAACATGTATGTACATGTTTGTATTTTTGAGAGAATATTGTTTATGCGTGGTTATTGAAAAAACTAAAAAATAAAGTTTCTAATATAAAGCCACAAATAACATACTAAATATCTGTCCACAAGACTTTTGACTAGTGGATGTTGTCGCCTAGAGTATTTGCTTCAAATTGATCTGAAAATCATTCTGCCTAATCATTCACATAAAACAATAGATTGTTTTAAATTGTGAAAAACATTTTTTTGTTTGCAAAGGCAATATGCGGATGGGCGGAACGGCCCAACCCCCTCATGAATAATTAGGCAGTTCTCACCTGAGCAGACTGCATACTAATGAGCCTTTCATTCAGGGGTGTCACACAAGAAAGAATGCAAGGACAATATATATATAAATAAATAAATATTTATATACACACACACACACACACACACACACACACACACATATATATATATATATATATATGTATATATATACAAACAATCAAAATATAAATGAAAGCCAAAAGCACATTTTTAGTCACACCTTTTAGCCATCCACATACCATTTTTAGCCATCCACCGCGGTAAAAATAAACCAGTCGCATTTCAAAGTCGTACGCGAAATGACTGCCAGGTGGCGCAAAGGGACATTTAGCAAAACGTAAGTGGGGCTAATGTCTATTAACAGTAGCCTAAGGATGAAATACTACAAGTTATGGTAATTTCCAAATAAGCCTACAACAAATTGTTGGTCATACAGATAAGATATAATCTTTTAAAACTGTAAAAGGCTAAAGTAGGCCTACACTCACAGGCTAAAGACAAAACGTTTTCTCGCTCATGTGAGAACCAAACGTTTGGGTATTTCTCAGTAAGAAAATTCATAGCTGAGCGGTAGAACTTACGGTTCATCATCAAGATGACACAGGTTTAAATCCCGCACAAACATGGTCTGCTGTAAATTTTATATTTATTATTGCAGAGAGATTTGTCTAGCTCTAAAACTCTGTTACACCATACAGTTTTTTTTTTTTGCTTATATTTATAAAATACAATTATCATGCATTTCCATTTTACACTAAGGAACAAAATAGTATCCAACAGAACGACTTTGCATCTGTATAATAATAGGCTACCAATCGTAATTTCAAAAGCAGTTCTGTAAAAAAATAAATTATATATAGCCTATATATATATATATAGGCTATATATATATATATTTTTTTTTATTCCAGGCTCTCACGCCACACCCCCGATTTCTCACGCTGAAGTGTCAACCCGGTCGGTCAAATTCCTGAAAGATATAGTTTATCTATAGATCTACCTGTTGAGCCACTCGTGATCGACTAGTTATACCGCAAATTAGTTAAAATATCCCGTAATCTATCTAGAGCGAGCGTGCATGCGAGACAGATATTGTGCTCCAAACCGTGCGCGCGCATGGCAGAGAGGTCTGTTCCCTACAACCTAGAGTTTTTAAAAACATGGTTTTAAGTAAAGTGTGATTTGCCAGGGGGGACTGGGATTTCCTTCTGGTCTAAACATCCCTACTTCTGCTGAATTATTTTAATCCCCACACCCCTCCCTCCACAGCTAATCAATGCTATAGGCTACTTCACCAATATCAAATATATAAAATAGAGATATGCAACAGGCACGTTTAAACGACAAACAATAAAATCAAAACCAGCGTTTCAGTTGTTCATTAGTTCCAGTGGCCTGAATGCATGCACGGCTTTTCAAAATTTCACAAAGCGTCTTGAGATTATTTTGAATGAAATATTGAAGTTTATAATTAAGTGTTTTGGCACACCACGCCGAGTGGCCCTATGCATTTTTCTAAAGTCCGGTTTTATTCTGGCATGGTGAGTTAGTGTTCGACAAACGCGGCGGCGCGTTCATTTAGATTAATTTATTTATCTCATTATTACAGCTAAAATAACTTAATAGGCGACTCCGTAATTTTTTGGTCATACAGATAAGAGTAGAGTAGCTTACATCGTTCAAAACTGTAAACTTGTATTCATATTAGGCTAACGACAAAAACAGTATATCTGTCCTCTCTGTCTCCGGGAACTGCGCGTCACAAAAATGAACCGAAAGCCACTTCAGCTCAGTCACGATAAGAAATCGGCTATGTCTAAAGAATTTAAATGTCTAAATATTTAGGCTAATAAATGTTATCTGATTATGTAGGCTAATCCATATGAAAACGAGAGGTACAGAGGATCTACTCAAACATGTAATGTAAGCGCTTCCCAATGAGAAAATGACAAGACAAGGGTGAAAATCTCGCTCTAATTAAATGTAGGCTAAATCGCCCTGAATTAAAATGTAAAAACAGATCAAATAATGTATTTGTCGAAATGTTGCGATATTGTTTCATTTAAGTTCATAATTATTCTATAAATGTTATTTAATTTAGCAGCATTACCACGAAGCACCGTGTTTCGATATTTATTTGAATAATACAAAATAAAATAAAAACTTAATTCACAAATTGAATGCCTGGTTGTAAGGATCCAAAGATCCCTGTAGACTTTAATATTGAGTTGAACATTTTGTTCATGACAACAAATTAACAAGCGTTTTTTCAGATTATATTTAGTTTTGCTTGGAAAAAGCTGCCCCAAACCAGTTTTATTTCATCAATTATTGAAATAATGAAATATTTAGTAATAAACTTTTATGACAGAAATATCACTAGGCTACATGTAACTTAAATCATTTAATTCTTTCAACACTGTCTAGAATAGCGATTTAAGTGTGAATTGCGACTTCTCTTTGTGTTAAGTCAGCCTCAGACTCTGATAGCCTGTGGGGGGTTGGAGGGACATTTGCTGGACAAAGGTGTTAATGTTCCTCTTTCATATGGAGAGTGTCGGATAGCCAAAATTATTGTAAGGATAAATCTGTGTCCAAATGTAGGCCCCATATCTTATTAAATTATAAATATTGTAGTTTATTTATTGTAGCCTATTTTAAGTTTTTTTTCACACAAAATTTCAATTGAAGTTATTGTAAGGTGAATTCAACAAGGCATGCTGTGTCTTTGAAGCAACAATTAAAGGCTAAATAATTTTTTCGTGATTTGTATGGCTGACACGCAGCGACATATACAGTATTATCAGCTGTATGATGTGTTTTTACCCTGAAATGTTTAATTTCGAGAGAGACCCGGCGCGCGCAGCGAGGGAGACTAAATAAACTTGTTAAAAAGAGATCCAGCTCGAGAGAGGCAAAGAAAAACGCATGTTTTTAATTTAATTATGTTTCTTTGGACAATTTTCGTTTTGTACGGTTTTAATTGTTTAATTTAGCTGTAATTTCTTTGGCAATACAAATTTAAAATGTCGCAAGAATAAGATTAGCCTAGTGTTTCTTATTTTGCATCGCAAAAGAAATAAACTCTAAACCCGATGCAACCCATGTTTTAAATTAAAAAAACTGTCCCGACACTTTATTTAAACCTTGAAATGTCCGAAATTGGTTTCAAACTTAAGTAATTTTAGTGTTCTTTTACATTACACAATAATTTAGCAGACTAAAGACGAGCTTCTTCATTTTCATTTTCTGATGCAATCGGCTGACAATCTTCCTTCATCAGTTTTTGTCGTTTGTGCAGCGGCTGCGGTTCCACAGGAATGTAGCAAATTTATGTTGTAATGATAATCAAACAAAACTCTTGACTTTAAATAAGTAAACAGTTATAAACAGTTACCTATTTAAGCATGAAGGTGGTAAAATATAGACGCTGTAGGACAACATCGGTTAACAACATGTAGGCCTATGCTACATTGAGATTCGATCTCGGGTCGTTTGAAGCTCCTCGAAGCTCGTGTTGCTGCGTTGATCACTGAGCTACCTTCTGTACGCTGTTAAAGCTGTAAAGCCTCATTGATGTAGCCTAAATGTTTTTATTGGAATGTTTTATGTTGAAATGTTTTCATTATTTATTCAATTACATTTCAGTAGCCTAATTTCAGTATTGTGATTATGAATTATTTTAACTACATTTCACTTGTTGAATTCATCTGCTACCAGCTTTCAATCGCTCTGAATCAGCCAGCAGATCTGCGGCAGCAGATTACGCATTAGAGAGAATAAACCGGAATAAACGAACACTTTTCAGAGTCTATGATTGTAGCGCCTCTTAGCGGTAAAAGGCAGCAAATACACCACACATTTTACCGCCGCGGTGGAACGGCTGATGTGGGCATTGTCATGGCTTGCCTCGACATTTGCGTTTGAATAGCGCGCGTCCTCCGTGGGCGTGTCAGATTAACGCGTAATGAAGTGTAATGAGCTGGGAAAAAAAATACTGACAGCACTCTCTTTTCATACAGATTGCATAAACTAAGAATATTTGTTTTTTATATAAATCACTTCATTTAAAAGAAGAGAATTCAAGCTTCATAATGAAAAATCTCTCGTGCCTGTGTGACAAGTAATCGCGGAGTTACAGTTAATCTTAGGACGCGTTTCAGAATGGACTTCACTGACAGAGAGAACGCAGAACTCGCATCATGTTTGTTTTTCTTTATTTGGTGAAAAGCACAACACTTTGTTTTTATTGTGAGTATCCACAAAAAAATAGAAACTTAACAGGAACTAATGATGTATAACACTTAAATGTAAGATCAAAATCAACCGAGTATTTTGAGTCTCTTTTGCACTGATAAGAAAAAAAGCGAGCAGATCACGCCGGCGTGATTGCCGACCCCAGAGGGTTAAGACTGTAACATTGACTTACCTGTCGAGAAGAAAGCAGGACTTCAGCGTCTCTTTTGAAATCTTTCTCCTGCAATAGCTCTATCCACCTGGAAAAAGCTATCCCGACATTAACTTGTGTTTTTTGTAATCTCCAGTCACGTTTCCTTTTACGATCTATTTTGGACTTTTCTGGCGACGAGGATTTGCAATGCAGCCTTTTAAACTTGCCGGGGCAGTGACAAGCGCCTCTCACTGCTCTGCTCCTCCGTTTCTGCTGCTTTCAGTTACGTCACGCTGGCTCTGAATGAAAACGCGTTGTGGAAACGCGTTGGCCTAGTACTTTTTGTCCCTCTCTGCTATTATAGTTTTTCAAGATGGCGGAACTACATGGAAGCCTCCGTGGACCTACCCGTCCCATGTATATAAAGATAATAAATTCTTCGTTTACGAGGATAAGTCAGATAATTGGCAGAGGTATTTGTACACCATTGAGGACATATTTATGAATAAAAATATTGATTTTAAATAATAAAATACATAAAAAAGTACACATTGTCCCTTTAAATAGTAAGGCACATTTATAAAAGCTACTTATGTCCTAATTGAACTAAGGCCTAATCCTAGCCCTGTCTGTGAAACCAGGCCTTCATACAGTATAACCTTATCTGTTACTTTTAATAAATGCATATGCCTGTGTAGTAATTTGAGTATTCCTATAAAATGGTATACCGCACTTTCAAAGATAGAATCTGATCAAGCTCAGACACTTAATCTTGATCATTTACAAAATGGCAAGAAAATGAACAGGATGGAAATAAAGATCTAAAGTTATATTCTCATACACATTTCTGTAATTTTATCAAACAGAATAAAAAAAGGCCTTAAAGAATTAGTTCACCTCAAAAGGAAAATGTCCTGATAATTTACTCACCCCAATGCCATCCAAGATGTTCATGTCTTTCTTTCTTCAGTGGAATTTTTTTTTTTTTTTTGAGGAAAACATTTCAGGATTTTTCTCCACACAATGGACTTCAATTGCAACCAACATGTTGAAGTCCAAATCAATGCAGTTTCAAAGGGCTATGAAGTGCTTCAAATGGCTCTGCACGTTCCCAGCTGAGGAATAGAGTCTTATCTAGCGAAACGATCGGTCATTTAAAAATAAAAATAAAAATAAACATTTATATACTTTTTAACCACAATTGTTCAGAGCCGTTTGAAGCACTTCATAGCCCTTTGAAACTGCATTGATTTGGACTTCAACATGTTGGTTGCAATTGAAGTCCATTGTGTGGAGAAAAATCCTGAAATGTTTTCCTCAAAAAACTGAATCTCTTTTCCACTGAAGAAAGAAAGACATGAACATCTTGGATGGCATTTGGGTGAGTAAATTATCAGGAAATTTTCATTTTGAGGTGAACTAATCCTTTAACTATAAGAAAATTAATAGACTTCGGATTTGCAGGCAGCTTGTTTTATTCCCTTCTGTATTAAAAAAACAACATACAAAATTACACATTAAATTGCAGTCTCAGCAATGAAGCCAAGGTTAGATGGCCATTATTCACTCAGAAAACTAAATTCTCTATTCCCACCTAATCGTAGCATGTAGAGAGGAACCCGTGAACAGCTGGTGACCGCAGAGCCATTTCATACAGAAATAGTTTGTAATGCATCTCCCCACGCTTGCAGTAAAAACGCATCCCGCCACTCCAAAGAGAAAACAATCAATATAACATAGCAAGCTATTGACCTGTGCATTGTTCACCAAAACTGCAAAAGATGCAATTTTCTCAGAAATGGAGGTGGCTTGTCAACACCTTTACATCTTGTCCAGCAGCTTCTAAAGCTCCCTCATAAACAAAAAATCAGGCAGATGCCGAGGGAACCGTGGAAACATTTTAGCAGTGGAAACATTTTCTAGCAATGGATCTTGCTTTCACAATATTGTGAAGAAGCTGCCTTTGATCTCTAGAACTAATGCCGAGGGCTTTACACTCGCGGAAGCCGACTTTGCTCTGTTCTGTAGCTACCGATATTTTGCTATCCCAGTCTGTTGCTATTTATATAGAGCAACACTGCCAGCTAAAACAGTATTCCCAGATGGCCCTATGATAGCCTCTCACTTTCTGCACTATCCCTATAAGTATAAATTAGGGATGCATAGTTCAATGTGTAGTTGCTAATGGCCATACCGCCACACTTTTTTTTCCCCCTACACCCCAAAGACTTTGGAAATGACACAAGCTCCCCGATTTCTTGGCAAAAGGAAACGAGTGCGAAGGCAGCGATAGTCATTATTTCATCGTTTGTAGGCAGGCTATGTGTTAATTAGATGCAAGGCACTGCAAATGTTAAGGAGGATGTTAAGAGCCATCACCGGGCACAAGCATCCTGAAGTAATGATCCACCAGGGGAGAATTTCCAGGGCAATGTGGGAAAAACTGTATTTTAAATAGGCCCACAGCAAGTGCGAGTGCCAACTTTAGAGAGCGCACAAGAGGGGATCGGTCTGAAAATACCCAGGTTTTGGAGGGCAGGCCGCCTAATGCTATCACCATAAACAAATGCTGCTCGCAGCGGTTGGGCCGTGTACCTCTGGAGAAGTAGCTGCACATCTGCCAGACTCCAAAAATTGCAAGTCATTTTCTCATTGCGCAGATATAACTCGAGGTCCCTCAGTGGACGGGCCACTATCTGATTTGACAAGAGCTACAAAGCTGTCCACCAAACTGAGAGAACTATCTTAAACGTACTGTGGTTTGAATCAAATGCGAACAGAGCCTCTATTTGTGTATGTAGGTGAAGATATGAATGGTGGAGTGATGAGATTCAGTGAGAATAAAGATAGTTGTCATGCATGATGTGTCTGAGGTTTTTGGTCAGCACAGCACCCAAAGGATTCAGTCTGCTCTATGAAAAGTCACATTGGGCACAAAAGAGCCCTCTTATTCCCATAAGTCTTATCTCTTTAAGTTCTTAAACCGAATGGTTGTCTGTCATTTCTGCACTGAGGGTAGAGAGATGAAGATGCAAAGGAGGACGCAAACCCCTCCAAACATGACAGGGATTAGGAACTTCAGAGGAATGGGGCTAATGGAGGGACGAGGATGGAGACAAAGAATAGAGCAGTAATTGTGTGTCTGTGTGCGTATGTCAAGTTTTGACTGCTTCACCATAAACAGTACAGTGCAACCGGAAATCAGCTCCAAAAATGACTTAACCATATTAAATAATGTCTTGGTAAAAATGCAAAAAAGGTTTCTCACATTTTGTTTTAGGACAGAGAAAATATCATTAGCGCAACATTAAAAAAATGATAGTCAATGACAAAGCACCAACATGAAAGAAAAACAAGCATGTGTGCGTACAGGGATAGCGGAGGAAAATCATGTAGTAACGGTCGCATTTACAAGACAGTGCTGGTGAAAAACCTCTTGGAGTGCGTCAATTAAAGAATCGTGTCAGAAGAAAATAGTATTGATCATAATAGGTTGTAACTGTGAATGCTGACTACCAATTTATTCTGCACATATTTTGTGTAGTGTTGAAGAAAAGCAGTAATCTTGCCAGGAAACACTAATCATTTAGCTGGCAGGCTTGTCCAACCAAACTACATTTTGCATGTTTTTTAGATGCAGCAGAAAATAACATACATGCAGAGAATCAAATATACACCTAATGCACATAGTTACACTAATTCCATTAGCTGCTGTGAGAAAGCCAGAAAGAGAAAGAGATATGAAATTGCCCAGCATAATTGTAGTCAGACCAAAATCATTGAACGTACATAGTGTGATTGCATGGGAAAATAAAAGCTGGTTGTTGATAATGGTAATACATGTATCTCTATGTGGGTGTTCTTCTGTTTACACATAATTATGGAGTGCCAAAACTGGCAGTTAATAATAAGGGTAATTAACAGATGCTAAGATATATAGCAGGCAGACAGACATTAAAAAGACTAACTGCTTTAGCTATTGCCTGAATACAAAGATTTTCCTTCTCTGGTACCCTAACACAGTTTCCTAGCTGTATCCACACAGAGGATGCATTTAAGTCCAGTTTTTTTATGCCCTTCCCTTGCTAACTTTCCTCCGTCTCGTTCACTCGGATGTGAAGTGCCCACTACTGGCAGAACCCTTGCAATGTGTTCAAATGGAATGCCCTAAGCCCTAGATCCCTTGGAATCTGCAATAGAGCTGATTTATTATTTTTCCTTATGAATTTGTTTTACACACCATTCTATAGGCCTGTATGTATGCTTGGGCTGTTAGAAAATTAAATATAAACAAATATTAATTATAAATATATTAATATATTTATATTAAATAGTAAATATTAAAAACACAAACAAAAATTATAATACAAGAAACTATAACCGTTAAAAATCAGTCTGCTTAAGTATTAAATGCAGTTAAATGTCCAACTAATTACAATATCATACACGAGTTGTTTGGGGTGGGGTAAATTAAGAGCGATCTGCTGTGACATCACAATCATGGTGCATTGTGGTCCATGGATCTGCTTGAAGTGTATGTTGAGTAGACTCGCTCCCTCTTTTAAAATCGAGGGGTCGAGGGTCTGTCCAAAATAAACTTCCCTTTTCAATTTGACAAAGTTGAACGCACTTCAAAATGGCGGAGGGAAGTTTGCGAGTACATGTCTAAAAATGGAGTTAAAGATCAGCCAGACACATCAGTAAAGCCTGCTTCAATGACACCAAACTTTAATTGTTTCTTGAGCACCAAATCAGCATTTTAGAATCATTTCTGAAGGATTATGTGACACTAAAGACTGTGGCTGTTGAAAATCCAGCTTTGCTTTCACAGGAACAAATTACATTTTAAACTAGGCTATATTCAAATAAAAAACAGTTATTTAAAATTGTATTCATATTACACAATATTATTGTTTTACTGCATTTTTGATAAAAAAAATGTCATAATCAAACGAATCTTCAATAATCCAAAAATGATTCCAATAGGACCTTAAGATATCAATTCCAATTAATGTAACTTGTCAAATTGGCCAAAATCCTCAATCTATTTGACTTGCTACAATAATATGTAGTAGCATGTCACCTTAAAATAAAGTGTTACCCTGATTTGTGTTCTGAACATTATAGAAGATAATACACTGTGCCTCAGAATGAATTTGTTTCCAAAAACAAAAAGTATCACTGGTACAAAAAAAGACAATTTAGCCTCCAGAAATCTCATGCAATAGCATTTGCCGGATCTGGGCAGACATATACTTGCAATACTGACAAGCTTTAAGATGTTTTCATCCTGCTTCCAAAGCATTTTGACACTAACATTACGTGCGGCACCCAATAAGATCAAGAGCTCAGGGATGAAAAGCAATTAGACAATAAATGAGAATGTGGTAGAATGCAGCCGCTCTAAATGATTATTCTCTGAGCATCAGGGAGCTCCGTTGAGTGTCTATGATCCTGAACTAATAGAGGTTATGGACACACAGGGCTTTACGCAGTTTCCAGTGCATAAAGGTGACTTTTCCCTAGTGGCTTCTTGACTGCTGAATTCAGTGTCAGTGGATGGA